GCAAATCGTACTTTTAGAAATTCCCATTTTAATTCTGTTTGTCTTTGTTACTTTTCTCTCTTGTTTTTAAAACAAATTTGTGTCGATGTGCTTTTCGTCTGTAAATGGATATCTTTTCTTTTACTCCCAGTATACCCATCTCTGGCCACCTTTTAGGCCGGTATGGCATTCTGGGAAACGACTGCCGTCTTTCGTCTCAGGGATCGCCGATGAATTGTTTGGATCCGTTCTGTGCCTCCCCACTTTCTTCTAGGTTTTTTTCCTCGACAAGCTTTTGGACGCTTTAATTTTAATTCTTTTTTGCTTGGTTTGCTGACTTAATTTTAATTTGAGTACCCAAGGCGCCGGGTACACGTCTCCGTGTATCAGCTTTACGCTCTTACTACAGCCAAGTACTGGGGGATTTTTGTTTTGTTTCTGTTATTTTTGTTGTTTATTTGTTGTCGTTGTTTTGTTTGTTTGTTTTGTTTTATTGTGTGTTTGTTAGGTTGTTTGTTTGTTGTTGTTGTTGTTGTTGTTGTTTTTGGGGGGTGTAAATGTAATACAGTGGGTGGTTGACGGGTACTGTGGTGTGGTTTGCTCTTTCTTTTTCTTTAAATATCTGTCTTCCTCACCACTCCTTCTTTTTCATATCTGTTACTCTCATGGAATACCTCTATCATTCAGCACTTATATGGCCAAATTGTGTTTCAAGTGCCGTAAAACTCGTACTTAATCAAATGATGTGGAAATATTTTACACAATATTCTTCACAATCAAATCATCTGCGGGCTGCTTTGGCACTGCCTGTCGATGTCAACGCAAGGCCAGGTGCGATGGGCCAGCAGGGCGCTACCCTAGAATTACAACGTCCTATCTGCTCAGTACCTAAATTTGACATCAAAAGATTTTGAGTTTCTCAACTTGTCAAACGTTTTCGAATGCAATTCTTTGAATATCTTGATAACAACTCCGAATAATCTTACCATTTTGATAGAGCAGGTAGAACATTTGTTGTTGTTTTTTTATACCTCACTGTCCTGTAGTGACTTATAACGGCCAAAATAAATGTCTGATAGAACTTTGTTTTTGTTTTAGTAGAGGTTTTACAGCGCTCGCAACTGCATACGGTCATATGAACGCCAGAAGATAAGAGGTGTTACAAGAGAGTAACAAACATAAAAAAGAACAAGGGGAGATAAGAACTTTGCAATTTTGAGGTAGGGAGATACTGGAATAAAATAACTTTTCCGGGAAGTCCAAATCAAAATCCTGGAAGAACTTAATTAGTACAAATTGCTCCATGCCAATTTGATTCAATTGATTCAGTCAGTGCTAGCCAGTGTAGTACATGGAGGAACGGAAAAAACGACCATTTGGGTACAAAACAGCCCAATGACTCGCTACGTTGAAAAACAAAAAACAAACATTTTTTTTATTTTGAAGGTCGCAGTCGAATGCAGTTAGACTCGGTCGTATTGTGTGCCAAAATGGTAACCGCCCGCCCCCCGTAGGGTAATCTGTCTGACCCCCGACTGAGCCTAATGAATCTAATTGGCAGTACGCACTGAGTGGAACCATTACTTACACCCCAGACGCCCGTCTCTGGCTCTTGAGAGACACAAAGAGTAATCAGGCAGAAGAAGCGGGACCGTCCGAAAGCAGTCCCCCTTCGCCTCTTACATAACTAAATAGGATGGGTGGTGTTGCGTGTTGTGTTCTTTCCTCTGAGTGTTATTGCGACATGTACGGAGTGTCTTTGTAGCTTGTCAGGTTGATAAGGCTGTGACAGATTTTTCGGGGCGCGAAAAACGTTTTGATTATGTTCTTTGCATTTATCTGTAGTAAAATGACTACGATTGTGAATGGTTGGAGGGCACTTCTGGTAGGTCTCACTTCTTTACTTTCATTCCGTTGTTTCTGTCTATCTGTCTTACTTTCTGGCGTTGACCAGATGACAAGGACATATTGTTACTTGAGGGAGGCATTGCGCTGCCAAAAGCGAAATGCTCGCAGCTAAAGGGATTTGAAAACAATATCTGTCTTACTTTTCCCAGCTCTTAATGACCATTATTGTGTCGATGTTCTTCTCTTTTTTTAAAAACAACAAGTAAGTGAGTGTGAGTAATTGGTAAGTTTTTACACCCCTACCAACACAGTTTAGACTATTTAGTGACAAGTCAGCTCAGACTGAGTGGGTCATGGCACCCCGGCAGTAAGACATAGACATTCGATAATAGCAGACTTCCCCTTATAACTTAAAGGAATCAGACTCTTGTCTTTTGTTTGCATCGGCGAAGAGCCTGGCTATTACAGCAAAGACACCGCTCTAGGAAGTTACCTGCAAGTATTTATATCATCTCGCGCTTTGTGACTAAAGAGTTGACTTCGTGGGGGTGTTGTATAGCACATGTGCGTAAGTGGAGAACTTCACTTTGTCGATCATACTTTTTAAAAATACTAGATCTACCCCTCTTTGTTTCTGTTTCTGTCTGTCATGCTTTTTTTCCAGAATTAGTTCGCCGTCTTCAAATTCAAAAGCAAATTCTATATCACACGCAGGTTTGCTACTTTAGAGGCTAGTTGGGTGTTCATAATTATACGGTCTACCCCTTTCTTTTTTTAGTGACATGCGTTTCTTTTTCACTCTTATGTTTCTAAATCCCATGTGCCTTTTTGACTCTCATTTATTTTCGTAAACCAATATTGCATTCCACTGAGTAACTACCTCATTGATATTATAACGACCAATAATGTTCTCCTTTTTATTCAACCAAAGTCAAGTTCAGCAAGAGCTAAGACGTTCACTCCTCTTCCAGTCACTTTACTCTTCGTTGTCATTTATGGTCTTGCTTATAAAATCAGTGTTCAAACGCAAGTTTTCACTATTTCGAAGTGGATGGCCCGAGGATGCCAGTGGCTCTTTATCTCTCTCTCTCCCCCCCCTCTCTCTCTCTCATTCTCTCTCTCAATCTCTCTCTCTTTCTCTCTCTCTCTCTCTCTCTCTCTCTTTCTTTCTGTCTCTCTCTTTCTCTCTCTCTCTCTCTCTCTCTTTCTCTCTCTCTCTCTCTCTCTCTCTCTCTCTCTCTCTCTCTCTCTCTCTCTGGTTTCTATCTGTGTGACTTGCTTTTTCCATAGCACTAAAATAATATGCCGTTGTTCTTGTCTTTACTCAAACAAACTCAAATTGTTGCAGAAAACCAACGGCATCCTCCGGAAGCCCACTAGCCCTGCACCTAGGAGAAGAAACCACGTCCGCATCTCGAGTTCAACACCCACTAAAGAGTTCAACTCCTCTGACCCCGTGACCCCTTCACAGACTCCGCCCCCAATGGCCTTGAGTGACGATGAATTTAGGTCAAAGTTCATGCCCAGGACACCGCAGAGCGTGGAGACATAGCCTGAATGACAAATCGGAAATTTCTTCAAAAGTCGCGACCGGCCTACAATGACCATAAACACTTGTTATTATGGTTGCTGGTGATTTTATTGAATTCTTTTATTTCCTTTCAAAAAATCAAAATTTGTTGAACAGCCCTTTTTTTCTTTCTTAAAATAGCGCAGATATCTTTAGTAGGTTCAATTCATTTTGAAGTTATCACTTAGGTCAGCCTTTCAGTGTTGTTCTGGGAAGAACATACTTTAATACAAAAATCCATTATGAAATTATTGAACTGATTGACCCGATGGGGCTTTTGGTTATTCCAAGTTCTTAACACAAAAGTAAGTAGGGTTTTTTGTGGGTTTTTAAAATTTTTACACCACGAGGGCTTTTTAAGACACCATGGGACAGTCATCAGAACTCAATTTCGAGTGGCAGGATCAGGAATGCTCTGGTGGTACACTGAGATGTCAACAATATACATTGTATTTTGATTGGGTTTAGAAAGCAAGAGATTCCTGCCCTTCAAGGAAACCCATTTCAGTTTTGTGATTTATTTTTACAGCAAAGGATGAAGAGCTTCAATATAATCACACACATAGTTCAAATGCCTTTGGAACTGTTTTCGTATGCACTATACAATTATACAGATTTAAGAGAAAGACAAAAGGATGTCCTCGTCTGTTATAGTATCATTCCCCTTGTGCATTCGTCAGTGTATACTATTTATTTATTGGAAATAATCAGCATTAATAAAAGCTGGCGTTTATCTCAAGTTCCTGTTGTTGATGGTCCTGGTTTGAATATTGTAATGTACATTTCGTCTGTATTCATTGAATATTGTCTCTTTTTGATTTGGATGTCATGTAGGGAATGAAGATTACGGATGCTGTGTCTTTTCTCTCGATGTGCCTGACGTTCGTTTTTTTTTTTTGGGGGGGGGGGTTGTGCTTTTTTTTGTGGGTTTTTCTGGCTTATGAGTGCACGAAGAAATTTGATCAAGCATGCAGAAGCAGTCAATGGTTTACTTTTTTATTTTCCCACAGAATCCTCACTTAAAGCTTTTTTTTTCAGTTAAACTCAAGGTAGGGATCTGTTACGTCCATCAGCTTCCCATAATTTTTGTTTGCAACTTTCTGCAATGAGTATATATATATATATATATATATATATATATATATATATATATATATATATATATATATATATATATATATATATATATATATATATATCATGGTGTAATGATTAGGCTCTTTGCTGCTGCACACAGGGGGCATGAGTTTGATTCCCTGTGTATCCTGCTCAGCCTTGGTTGGGTCTGACAGGCAGCATTGAAGCAACCAGCGTGTTGGGTTTTTCTGACTTGGGTTGAAAGAAGAGTAAAATATTTAAATAAATTAAAATCCAGCATGGTTGAAACTGCATTTGTTAGGCTGTCAGTGTATTGTTTTCATCTACCAATGTATGTTCGAAAATAGAAACATATTATTGATCCAACCATTATTTTACTTAGTTTTATTTTCAAATTTTAAATATCTGACGGGGAATAAAGGTTAAAATATTTCTAAACTGACCATATGGATATGCTTCAAACTTTGTATAAACCTGTACTTTGCTGGTATAGATTTTACCTATCTTTGCGATTGTAAAACCCAACAAGTTTTCTACGTTTGGGTTGATAACCACGTAAAGAACTGAAAAAACAAAAATCTGTAAAATTGCATAATCTGATGTTTTGTATTTTTGCATGTAATGTAGCATAGGTAAAAATGGCAACTTCCACCTCTGAAGACAGAGTCATTTGTGTGACCTCCTGTTCACTTGCAGTTCAGACATTCCATGAATCAAAGGCATATCTGTGATCCGATTGTATTTTATTCAAGCTAGTATTTTTATCTCGACATAATTTCAAGTCTTCAGGTTTTGCTTGAAAATTCATTACGTCCACACAGAAAAATATTTTATCTTTTAATTTCAGTATTACTCTATTTCAAACGCCTCCTTCTATTATGTTGAGATGCATTATAATAATTATATGAAAACGGAATTTTTTGTCTCATTAATTTGTATTTGTTTCAATCTGTCCTTTTTCTGTCATTAGCATTTTTGTGTTTAAATAAAGTCGTATCCATTTTTTTTCCACAACTTATATAAAAAATGCCCCATTGGCTCTACACAGGAATCTAAATCTTTAATCTTTCTCTCAACAACTTCATTTTAGCACATTACTGTCTTTATATTTACTTTTCTCTCTTGTATTCAAAAAGGACATTGAGGCTACTGTTGTATTGCATGTAGTGTTCAATGGACTGTATTGCTATATTTCTTTGTAAGCTGAATATTTATGCTTCAGCAACTCGAGCACCTTTTTGCCTGACTTGTAATCCTTTGTTTATGAACTGTATTTTATTCTTCCTCGAGCCATTATTTACCTCTTTTCTTGACTCACACCCCTCTCTTCGCGCGGTAGTTAAATATACCATCATCAATTATAAGCCTGTGTTATTAATGGAGCTGGGTAAATGATTCTTTTGTTTACAAAATGAACTGTTCTCTGTACGGGCGAGGAGCAGAAAAGAATTGCCTCTAAACGATCAAGGCAAAATCTCCTTCTGTTTTAGTCAAATTCCACATTTGAAGCTTAATCTTAACAGTGAGTCTCCATGCCCGTTGAACTCCATTTTGAAATTTCGATTTTTGATTTTAGATACAAGTGAATCTATCGTTTCGTCCACCAACATTATATCAAAGGGTTTGTCAGACAGTGCTAGTGTTGAATAAAATGACACTTTAAATAATGCAGTATTTCGACATAACTCATAAAGAAAAGGGATTGAAATTTAGGTGATGTTTCTCTCCTGAGCTATAATAACCCACGAGAATTCATGCTTTACTCGTCTTTAGACATTTATAAGTAAATTGAGTTTCCCCCTTCTTTAAACACGATAAGAGAAAGATTTTGGGTAACGTAAAGCTTCATAAATATTGCAAACCCAAATAATATGAGGAATTGATTAGAAGCCCGAACCAATGCATGCAGAACGAGGCGCTTTTTTTTCAATTTTGACACATACATCTTACAACAAGGTCATAATAGTTTGAGTAAGCATGATATCAGCTGTCTGTCTGTAGGTTATTTTACAGAATCATGATTGTTTTATAATCTGATTTAGTGGACCACTTCTGTACTTTCTCATATTTTCAACATATAAGTAGAAGATCACATAGTCTTTTCAAAATATTGCCATTAGTTGATCTATATTATAATAATATGAAATACTGTAAATAAACATATTGAAATGATACATAAAATGTTGTGTTGGTTGTTTGTTTGTTGTTTTTTTTCGTTTATTTTGGGATTTGCAGGTGTGGAGATCGGCGGCTGTGGTGTAGTAATTAGGTGTTTTGCCATCGCACCCAGAAGACCTTAGTTCGATTCCCGTGTAGGGAGAATTGTTGTCGAGTGTCTCGGTCTTTCTTGTTGTAGGACTTTGTATACTTCACAGCTCGGGTTGTCCTCAACAGGCAGGGTCGAATCAAGCCTCCTAAATGATCTAAATTGCGCTAAACAATCGTTTCGTCGCAACACACCCTCTGTGATCCTTTCCCCAATTCCTAATAAAAAAATATACCATCGTACAAACGCTAACACTTTTTAGATTTCCTATAGTAGCTCACATATCGTATCAATTTTAACGAATTACATGTACTGGTGTTTTTCTTCAAGACGTCTTGTAAGAGAGGGGAGAGGGGTGGTAATGTTGACTCGTTAAACCCTTAATCACGTGTTTGGAGACCCATGAAGAGTTTTCCTGCTCCCATTTCCAGTTTTCTTCTGTTTTCCAATGTCGTCACAACACACGGTCTGTGATCCTTTCCCCAATTCCTAATTTTAAAAAATATACCAAACTTGTTATCCAATCAAATGGCTAAAAATCGCTGAATGGCCTGTCTAAAATTTGCCCAGTCAAATAATTTGATACATCCACCAACAAGACACCAAGTCAAGTTCTGGACGTCATGTCGTCTGCTGCCAAGCCATGAGTATCATAATACTTCTACACAACTGTTGACCAGCGCAGTATGGGTTTGCTCTGACAGGCAAGATCATAGCAGATCGATCGTGTTCTAAATCGTGTCGTTAGTTGTGTAAAATATCTGCAACAACCTTTAGACCGACTTTTTAAAAAAATGGTTTACGGCGCTTGCAACTGCAAAAGGTGATATGAACGTGCAGGAGATATTAAACATTTTCAGTTTGGTAAGAATTCATTTTGAATTTTACACGGGTGGCGGCTGAAGCTTACTCTTATTTATTTTGGACCACCAAGGGATCTTTATCGTGCGCAACTTGCACACGTGACCTCCGAGATTTTTTGCCATTATCCGAGAAGGCTAGGTGTTAGATCTTACCTACCCTAATATCAGGGGTGTGGCTGAAAGACAGCCGTAAGAAGGAACCAGCTCTAGCAGTACAAAGGCTGCAGAAAGAGTCAGGAGCTCTGAGGAGGGGGAAAAGGATGTGAGGAGGTGGGGGCAGAAAGTAGAGACGAAAGCAGACGGCAGAAAATTGTTGGAGAGCAGGAAAGGAGAATTTTTCTAGCGAAGAAAATTTTCCGTCGCTGTCAGGTTTCAAACCCGGGACCTATTGAATGAGAGGTGAACACTGTACCTCTAAACCAAGAGAGCCCCCAAATATTTCTTCAAAACGTAAATGCACAGATGTAACGACAAATTGTCTGTGATCTTTTTCAACTCTGAACACGCAGCGTACTTGAGTGTACAATAACTATGTTATTCGGTCAACATAATTAACTGTAGAGTACATAGAGGTTGACAAGGTGAAAAGCTAAACGTAGATTGGGCATGGCACCCAGGAAATCATTTCAGTAGAAGTAGTAATACAGATGTGAGGTTTCTTTTAATAGAGTTGCAGCAGAGACAGAACTCCTGAGCAAGGGTTTCGTGGGTTCCAAGCTGTTGTCTCAGTATATAACTTTTTCTTTGCAGCGGTATAAGTTGCAGAAAAAATGGGCCGTTAATTCTGTTCGTATCAATCTGGACTGCCATGCTGTGCTTCAATTTTTACCCCTTAACTGCCTGACCCGAGAATGTCTCTGGCTCTCCTGTTGGACTAAAGGTTTAAACGGATTCTTGTGTTATACATGTATTTTTTTTATTACTAGTTCTATGTGGCTTGGTGTTCTTTCTATCTGTTGAAGGGCTGGGAGTGGGAAGAGATGGCGATATATACTTAGAGTCTTTGTTACACTGTGTCATTTATTGTAATGATCTTGTGTACACACCCAAAAGGCGGTGTTTAATTTAGGGCCCAAATTTAAAAAAAAATTACTGGATCAAGATTTTTTAAAAACATTTTGTTTGGTCGCTCTCAGTTCTAGCCCACATACAGAAGTGCCATGCAAAGTTACGTTCGCATTGGAAAATTAATAAACGAGCACGATTTTTTAAAACTTGGACAAACGAAAGTAAACAAACTATAGACTCAATAGACCTAATGGTGTTAAAACCAGTATCCGTACTACTATTTTTAGTCAAGTTTCGCCCCTTTCAAGGACAGAAACATGCAGGAAGTGAAATCGCCCGATGGTGGTTAATTTGCCAAAATCATGTGAGGTGACTAATTGGTCACGTGATGAAGCTCTGGTGTTCGTATTTCGAGGTTCCACAGTCCGGATTTCATTAGCCTAAATTAGATTAGCGAATATTTAACACGGAAGATGGAACGTCCAGGCAGAGAAAGACGCCAGGACATTTTCCACTAGCAAATCAAGACTTGACTTTCGCAGGTACGAGGGTCAAGTGGAAAGAGCCCTAGAGAACAAGATGGTGTCACCCTGTGCAGTAGTTTGCTTGCTTCGGGGACTGAGTTTCAGAGACGTAGATTCTCGAGCTTATGCATGAATTTTGATTATAGTTCGCTGAAACTCGCTGGGAGATAGATCTCTTTCCCATCTTGCCCATTTGAAGTAGTGAAGCTCTCTCTCTCTCTCTCTC